CTTCTACCTGGTGCAACTTGAGGCAGCTCCAGGGCTGCTCTAAATCCCACCAGATGCCAGCTGTCCATAAGGACTGTTCCAGCAGCCGAGGATCCCTGGAATGCAATGGTACTCTCACAATGCCTCCTTTTTCCTAGTCTTGCCCTCTATGCTGGGGGCTAGGAAGGACAGTGGCACAGGAGCTGCTACAACAGCGCCCAAGGACTCTCTTATTCCAGGAAAACTCTTAGCCAGATTCATCAACTTGATGGCTTCTTTGTACTGGGAGCAGTGAAAAATGGACAAAGTGGGACCAAGATTTGGCCCCTGTGGCTTCAAAAGGAGCAGGCGCAGGCCTTTGAATGCCGGCCTTGCTCTCAGTGTGGACAGATGGTGGTGTCTGTGGCAAAGACAAATTACTATGGGATTGATTTTTTTATATATACATTAATGAGCAGGTATTGACAGAGCCTGCCCCACTGACTCCAGGGGGACTACTCATGTGAGTAGCTGGGCTTACTAGTATGAGTAGAGGGTTCAAAATCTAGCCAAGTGTCTGTTTGCCCAATCATAGATAACTTACATCAAAATTCGTGATCTTTCCAATCTCTCCAAGTGCACCCCTTTAGGAGTTCAGCTTCTTGCAGTTCGCTCTCGCATGATTCTTCCACTTGTAGATTGGGATCCAGGAACGCTGGCCTGTATACCAGTAGTTTACTGGTACTACTACCTATGCTGATGGAGGAGTTCTCCCATTGGCATAGGTAATTCACTCCCCCAAGAGATGGTAGTTAAGTTGACAGAAGAATTCTTCCTAGCACAGTCTACACAGTGGGAGTTAGGTTGGTATATCTATCTTTCAGGGGTGTGGATTTTTCACACTGCTGAAAGACTTAGATATGCCACTGTAAGTTCCCAGTGCAGAGCAGTCCTCAGTCTGATCTACCCTTTTAAACTGGTTTCAGTGATCCCCCAATAAGCATGGGCTAGAGCCATTAAGGTTACTTCCCCTGGCATTGTCCCTTAACAATCCTTAATTTTAAACTATTAGACAACTATTAGAAAAGGCCTACTCCCTCTCTGAAAGTTTTACTTTCCAGGGTAGCTGCAGAAACTTCTGCATCATTATTTCATATCTGCCTGTTATGTGTCCCTGCATCAGCAATGCAACCTCTACTAAGGTATATCTTTGTTGTCGTTAACTGGGGTGATCGGTACCTGGGTTCAGCTGAGCCTAAGTGTGAGCAGACACTCTGTAAAGCCAATTTTTCCTCACTGGTGCTGCACTCATCCATGTGCATTGGTAGGACTTCTAGGGGCACATCCCATGTGTCAGGTTCAGAGCAGGGTAAAACCAGGGCCGGCGCTTCCATTAGGTGACCCTAGGTGGTCGCCTAGGGCAGCAGGATTTGGGGGGTGGCATTTTGCCGCCCTCGGTGGAAATTCGGCAGTGGGGGGTCCTTCCGCTCCGGATTTTGAGCAGAAATTCGGCGGCGGGTCCCGGAGCGAGTGAAGGACCCACCGCCGAAGTGCCCTGAAGACACGGAGCAGAAGGACCCCCGCCGCCGAAGACCCTAGACCCACTGAATGCTCAGAGGAGGAGCGCTGCCACCTAGGGCAGCAAAAACCCTGGCGCTGCTCCCGGGTAAAACTCAAAGCTGAGAGTAGCGGAGAAGTTCATAGTCAAGTTCCAGGCTGGGGTCGATACCAAGGATCAGAGTCTGCCTCCTGACCCACTCCTGAAATTGGACTCCATGTCCAAATTAAGCCAAGGTCGAAGCCTGGAGTATTAGCAGGAATGGTTATGGCAGCTACAGGAGATCCACATTCTTGCCTAGACACTTTTTGGAATGCCCCTTGGGTTTAAATATGGTGGGGATCCAATCAGGAGCCTTGAAGCTGGACTTCCTGTAGTCTGTCCACAAAGGGTCATGGATAGTGGAGTGTGAGCTACTTACAGCTGCCACTGGGTGGAGTTATGGAGCGGTTTGATGCCTGGCAGCTCTGCAGGCCAGGTTTGAAACCCGTTGAATCTTGCACAATGGTTCTTAGTGCTGCAATAAATTGAGTTGCTCTATGATTCTTCCCTAGTGATTTGTGAGAGAACTTGTCTGTCTGGGCTCACAGAGGGAATTGTGGGAAGGCATTGGAGAACTAGAAGTACTTGAGTGATTTATTCTGACTGTAAAGTGGGTAGGGTACCAGCCTGAGTGAAAGCAGTACTTAATCTTTAGCCTACTGCCCCAGCCAGGCCTGCTAGTTCAGGTTAAAAACACCACCATGCTCAGGTCAGTTCTTTGTGAACAGAAGGAAGGTTAGAGCCCAGGTCAACTGTGCAGTGAAGACATACTGTTAGACTTACAAATCAACAGGGGCCATGGCCAAATCCAAATCATATGGAAGATAGCTTCTGCCTATTTAGGGGATTCACTGATTGTTATTTCTACTTCTCCAGTGGATAATCTGTGTGTGCTCTTTCTGACATTAATATATATTCCATGTCATAGTGGGAGAAAGGCATGGCTCATCAACTCCTACAGTATTACTCTTAGGAGGAGGGTTTCTTTGCACAGACTGAATCAAAATCAAGGGAGAGTAGTTAATGTCACTGCTGCTAATTTTGCCACTTACTACATCTAATATTGATGTACTGTACCTGTTGCCATTAGCCCGTAAGCCATCTTCTTTTACACATAACATAAAAGAAGCATAAAAAACTGCTCTTGTTTTTTATTGCCTCCCATGCCTTTCTTGAAATCCTGTAAACCTGTTCTAGCTTCTCCATTTTGTTTGAGTGCTTTTGTAGAATTCTTCATAAATAACAAGTCCTCACATCTAGGCTATATCTAAATCTTGCTGATTCTTTCAGCCTAGCAACTCTAAGATATGTCCTTTCCTATCCATGCACGCAACTAAAACTCTCATCCAATCTCTCATCATCCAGTGTCTTGATTTACTGCATCATCCTTCTCCCTGGCCTTGATAAATACAATCTTGCCTCCCTCATTCATTCAGAATGCTGCTGCGAAAATCCTTTACCTAGATGTTGCTTTGACTCTGTCACCTTTTTCTCTTTGAATCCCTCCACTGACTACCCCTTCTCTATGACATCTGCCATAAGCTGCTTGTATTTACTTTCAAGGTCCTTCATAGTCTGTCTCCATACTGCCAAGCTGTCTTGCTCTCAAGCTGTCTGCTCACCTGCAATCGGACCATGATGCCAGCCTCCACTGCCCAATTGTTAAATCTTCACACAAAATTTGTGCATTCTCCAGAGTTGTCCCACACCCTTAAACATCCACAAATCTACCTCATCATCCCTCAGATCCCTCCTCAAAACTCCTTTGCCATGATGCCTACAAAAAATGACATTTACTGCTAGTGCGCTAAGACCCCTGCCTATCATTGTCTCATTGTTTACTTTTACACCCCTGTTTGTCTCTTACGATCTGTTGCCTCTTGTCTTATGCTTGGACTGTAGGCTCCCTGGGGCAGGGCCCATCTTTGTTCTGTGTTTGTAGCACAATGTGTCCTGTTCCATGACCCTGGTTCTAGGCACAATGGTAATAGAAATAGTAGCAGATGATAAAACTCTGAATGCCGGAGTCCTTTCTTTATCATTTGGATAGGTGCGTTGTCTTACAAAATCTTTTCTTATCAAAATTCCTTTTCTCCCCTCTATTACATGGAATAAATATACTTTGCAATCTTCCTTTGATCAGTTATGTTTGAGGTGTGATACACACCCTCCTAAGTGTGGCATTTGAGCATCTGTGTGAAATTATTTATTATTTTAAGGTCCTTTACAGACAGCGATTTAAGAAAATGATCTATTGTGCCTTACAAACCAGACACCATATCACAGAAACATTCCTTTAAACAGTGTCAATATTTCACTGTCGGACTTTCTAACACCAAAAAGACTGTTACACTGGATGGCTAATGATGCAATAAATTCAACCAGGAGCTTGTTACAGTTAATAAGCTGTAAAGGGCAAAGGTATTTGGACAATGTACATTAAATTAGACCTGTATCAATTACTAACTGTGTAAGTTATTTCTTCTATTGTCCTTTGTAGAAATGTCATTTTCCTGAAGAAATAGAGGTCATTCTATTTACTACATGTTTAATTTTTACAGCCACTGACTTCTTTGTGAATAAATAACAGGCCTAGTTCAGAAGACAAGCATCAACTCAGAACAATTATCAAAGACATTAGGAGACAATGCTAATGTATTTCATGCTTCAAAAGCTACAGCTGCCAGAAATTCACAGCAATCAATCAACACTCTTTTCTGCTGTTTTTCATATATTAACACAACGGGGGTAATAATTTAGAGCCTGACGCTCTCCCCCCAAACACCACCGAAGATAAAATTTCTGGGTATATTAAGTGAATGTTCCTTGGAGACCATTTGACATATAGGTAACATTCCTAAAGACAAACAGTGTTTTATTCCTTTTTTTGTATAATGCTCAAAAAACCCCCGAAAAACAAACCAAACCCTATTTCAGACAATGAACACATTTCATTGCATTTGAATAGAAATCTCTTTTCCTGCCATTGTAATCTGCAACTCGTAGTTAGAAAACTGCACAGTCAAGTTGAAATGGATAAAGCCTTTGCCTTTCACAGCCTGTCAGGTCTTCCCTGGATTCTTACATAAAATAAGTTTGGTCGCAGTGCATCTCTTGTGGAAAATAGTCCATACTAGGAAACCATCTCAATTTACTGGAATAAATGGCTTTATGGTCTGGGTCAGAAAAGGCTTCGGTAAAGTCTAGCATATAGAGTGAATTATTTCTAAACCCCCAAAGCCAGGTCAAGGTTTATACCACAGATGGGGACATTTGTATTGTAACATTTTGCAATGTATGCTGTCTTCATTTAAAAGACTTCAGTCTCCAATCTTATCTTTTCCTTGACCTTCACTGAGAATAGACTAATAAAAACTATTTTTATAAGCAACATAAAGCTTGCACAGGCATAGATGCTGCAACCATAACAACAAAAGATTACCTGTGAATTTATGAAGAGGGGATGCTGCTTCTTATAGTAATGAATCTCTCTTCTGTTAATAAGCGATATTGGCTGTGCCCTGGGAATGCAGAGGCAATGTTATTGTTATGCTCTCAGCAAGAGCTAATTATACACTTTGTCACTGAGCTCTGTTTTCTGTGGGGTTGTTTTTATCTGCTCCAAAAAGGAGCCTGTCTAAAACTACAAATGAAATTACAATGTATTTTTGTACTTTTTCTTGCCTTGTTCTTCCTCCCATAAAATATTGTATTTTCAGGTTCCTTGAGCTCACTTCAGAATGAGACACTCAGCTTCTGGTAGAAAAGAAAACCCTCATCTTGTGTGCTAGAAGAAAACAAAAGTGACCCTGAGCAGTTTACCACCCCCTCAACCTCATAGTCAGCCTGCAAGGAGTGTTAAGTTGCCTAAAGCCATTACCCTCTAAGGTATTTCCCATCCATTTGCATGGGGATGAAGGGAGGAGTAGAGGAAGATCAGGCTGGGCTAATCTGACACCCCTCTCATGCAGGCATGGGAAATGGCAGATGCCTAACAATGGGCTGAAGTGGACCTGAGACATCTGTAGAGACTGATAGCTTATAGTGAAGTTCTGCTCTGAAAAGTGATGTTGTAAATATGGCAAAGGGGAGTCCATGGTTATTGTCTCATCGATTTTTAGGCCAGAAGGGATCATTGTATCACGTAGTCTGATCTCCTATATAACATTGACTCCGGATCAGATTTGCTGAGTTAAAACAAACAAACAAACAAAAAAACCACCTTAAGAGAGTTTAGTTGACTGCCACCTCAACAGAAACTTACTGTGTGATCTGAAAGTCAGTTTATGCTATTCATACTCTTCATTTCACCACTAGTACCAAGAGTTCTATCATTGGAACTTACTGCTTTCAATGATGCATGAGCCAGGAAATAATCCAGCTCACTTCCCCATAGTTTCATTAGCTCTTCAGAAGTAACAGGAGTAAAAAGTCATTTTTATTTTTTAATAAAAGCAACAGCGCTCACTCAGACTATATGGAGGGAGCAGATCTGCCCAATAAGATAACACATTGTTATTGTCACTTTCCTCTTACAAGGAAAGCCCTTCTATCTGCTTGTTTCCTCCCAATCCTCTCCCAGCTTCCTCTTTACTCTTGAGGATCAAATTAAGACAAGACCTGCTGCAACTAATTCATTTATTCATTCATATGTCTCATATTCCAGTACACAATGAACTCTGGATGTCCTCATTTAGGGCAAAGCCCAAAACAGAGTCACATGCCAGATGGCTGAATACCATGATAGGATCCTCAGCAGCTGGAATATTTTTGATCTTAAAGCTTCTAGGTGCTCCAGTGCTGTTTTGTTCATGGATCACCCTATTAGTTCTTTGAAAGTGTCTGGTTCACTGCTCCCAAGACCTGCAGACACCACTCAAGACTGCCACCTTAGACTGGCTCTGTAGACAGACCTGGAATTTGACCGTTTTCTGCTATTGAAAGGATCCATTTTCAATTCAAACTGCATATGCGAGCATTGTCAAACTGCCCTGTAAGCACTGATGATACACAAATAATAAAATATGTGGTTAGATGTGAAAAATCTTCATGGATTGATATGTGGTCATGAGAACTTGTCCACAACCACTTTTGAAGAATTATTCTTCAGACCATGAGTCACTGCTCCCCACCTCACCAAAAAAAAAAAGGGCTTGATTTTTACCAATGATAACCCTAGTGATGGAAAGTCTGTAGGATATACCCACAATCTGCTTCATTGGGGTGGGCCAACAGCCTGTTAGTGCAGTGGGTAGAGCTAGGTGGAGAGCGGGTAAGGAGAGAATGCTCTGATGGGTTACACCACAGGAAGCCTTTGTTGGGGAGGCTCTTATGGTGCTTCGGCCAGAAATTAAAGCTCAATAGCCTGAATGGTGCAGAATATGCAATTGTGCAGCCCTTTGTAACCAACAATAATTAATTGATCTCATTAAGTATTACCCTTGAAAATAGCTTTGCTAATGGAAGAAGCACGTATTGTAAGGGCATGTAAATATACCGGGGTGTTCTATGTAACCTGTGTAGGGATATGTACATACTGGTGAGCACTCTCATGCACCGTAGCCTGTTTATATTATCTCCCCTTCATAACACCGAATAACTGAATATCGTTTTAAAATGCATAGATGAGAACTTGCCTAAACGGAGTGTGACAATAACACTGGCCAGATCTTTGGTATAAGTTCACTGAAACCACAACATGTTTGGCCCTTCATGTCCAGTGCCTTTATAATTAAAACATGTCATGTTTTCCGGGGAAAAAGATCCAAACTTTTGTTTTATTTGGTAGTGTGTGACCTACCAACTTACTTGTGGCATATGGCAGAATTGCCCCTGAGAGTGATGCACATGCAGTGCCCCCAGTCAGAAATAAAAAGGTGTATTCTTCTCTGAGAAGGAAGGGACTCTGTATAGTTATATAAAATACCAGTTCTATTGTAGGGATATTAAAGAAGGTACTAACAGTGATTCCCCCAAGTGACAGTGACCCCCTCATAATTTGTCCCCCACACTTTAAAAATCCAACAGTTTCACCAAGTACAAAAATCTTTTGGGTCTTCTGTTAAAACTTGTAAGCTACTGTCTGTAGAAACCATTGATTATATCTATCCTGTGAAAGATACTTTACTACTATGTAAAACTTACAAACAAGTTAACTGACTTTGTTCTTGAAGTAATTGATACAATGCAAACAAACACTATAAGCCGTTAAGTGACTTTCACTTCATTCAATGGCTCCTAGCACAGACCCCCACCCTCTGTGATTAAAGGGCCGGGAGTCTCAAATGAATTAGCACATTTGGTAGCCCCCTTTGCCTCCGGACCCCGAGCCGCCGGAGCAGAGCAGCTGGAGCCGGGGAGGAGAAGTGCCCAGCCGGCGGCTGGACTCCGGAGGCAAGGGGGCTGCCTGAAGCTGGTAGCGCTGGCTCGGGCAGCTTGGCTCTTAAACAGAGCCGAAGTCTGAGAGGGGAGGAGCAGAGCAGCTGGAGCCCGGGAAGGGAAGTGCCTGGCCCGCGGCTCAGGGTCCGGAGGCAGGGGGGGCTGTCCGAAGCCGGTAGCGCTGGCTAAGGCAGCTTGGCTCTTAAAGTCTGAGAGGGGAGGAGCGGAGCAGAGCAGCCGTGGGAGGGGAAGTGCCCGGACGGCATTTTCTCGGACATGTTCAGCTTTTCGGCAATTCCCCCGGACGGGGGTTTGATTGCCGAAAAGCCGGACATGTCCGGGAAAAACCGGACGTATGGTAACCCTACTATATATATATGTATGTGTGTGTGTATAAGAAATAAGTAGTCAAACAACATTGTTTACTTTTATCTTTTGCTTTATCAGTATATTTACAATAAATGTGGCATCTTTGCCTTATCCCTCTTACTGAGATCCTGCTGGTTTTTATTCTATTGGTATAACACTATGTTAAAAGGTAAAAGAAGTAAGAGAGACACTATAAGAGCTGTACTAAAACAAAGCTAACTGCAGCAAAGACCGATCAGCCTGAAGATAAAGCTAATGAAGATGAAAGAGCTCTTGACTCCCATTTCATAATCACTGTGAAGGTCACTCTGTTACAGGTATGTAAACAACTGCACCTATTAATCTTCATACATCTGGGTGTCAGGGAGAAGGAGGGTGAAAGGAAAGAAAATGCCGGGGGGAGGGTTGTCATGACTGAAAGAAAAGGGAACAGACCACTCTGTCAAGGAGATTGCCCAAGTGTAACTGGATTCAGATCTTGGCCCACTGTCTACAGGAATGATAAAGAATTGGCTCTTTCCCCATCCATACTTGGATGAAACAGTAGTAAACTTAATTACTTAATCTTCACTCTTGAGCAGGCAGGAATCTCTGGATTCCAGACAGAGTGAGTTATTTCCTTTTTTGGAGGGAGAAATGAATGGACTCTGGGGGCCAGATCCTCAGCTTGTGCAAATCAGTATACTTCCATTGAAGTTAGTGAAGTGACAAAGCCAATGTTCACCACCCCTGGGGATCTGGCGCATTCAGCTGTTGTGGCATCAGTCTATTTATACCATAGATCAGGCCAGAGTGTTATTGTCACACTTTTTGTGTATGTAGGTTCTCATTGCAAATTTATGTTGGTTGAGCCTTCTTCGCATCAAAACTAAAGTTGATTAAATAGTTTAAAAAAATCCACCAACATCTATTCAATTTCTCAAACATTCATGTCACCTGTATTCACACTCCTCTTGTATTTGCTCTTTGTAAATAGACATCCTCAAAGCATCAGACTGAGGTAGATACTCAGTAGGATGTATAATAGCTGAAAAGATAGCCAATGTTTGAAAAGTTTTTTTGATTCACCCATCCCTGCAAGGTATCATAAGATCTAGAGAAGCAGTTACCTAATAGCAAATAATGATATCTGCTATTCTATATCAATTGCTATCTACATGCTGTGTGCCTAATCCTGGTTCCATGGAAGTCAGTATAAAGATTTCCACTGACTTCAGTGGGTGCAGGACTGATGCTTGTAAGTGTGAAATGATCTGATAACTTGGAGTAGCTGATCTAGACTTTGTCTCCTGAGTGTTTGCAGGAAGTGAACTGTTAGGAATTCCTTCTTTCCTAGTCCAACTTTGAAATCTACAGAATAGAGTCTGCCAGAGGAGCTTGAAAAACTGATTGCTAGTGATGCTTTATAGGAGTGAAGACTGAGTTACAGGAATGAGGACTACAAAAACAAAGGTATTTGGAATAATAGATGGCACAATCCTAATAATCTATTCTTTAAGATGGCAGCTTAATTCTGACAGGCGTTTTTCTTAACTAGTTTTTTCTTAACATTATTGAAACTGTTTAATCTCTGTATCAAAGCACTAGGGTTTTTTTTGTTTGGTTGGTTGGTTGTTTTTTTTTGTTCTTTGCTTCCTGTTCTCTTTGTCTGTCTTCTGCCTTCCACAGACTTTGTTTTTACTAGCTGGAATGTAGTAGAATGAAGTTAAAAGGGGACAGAAGAAGTGAGAATGGGAGAAAAGTGGAAGAGACAGTTCAGTCGTGAAAGTGAATAAAAAATTGAGGGTCAGCTAATAAAAA